CTGGTCAGTGTGAGTTCGTTAAGCACACAGAAAGTTCCAGGGGGCTAGTTTAGTTGTAAGTAGGCCCCCACCCAAATTACGAGTGATTGCAGTGTTTTAAATGCTGTTCCCAAACTCTGTATCACAAGTGACCTGAATCCATGTCTCCTCGTGCTGACTGGCTTCTGGTCCAGCTGCTGCTTCCGCCCGGGCCACCTTGCACAGGCCTTTCCTCTTGTTCACATTCACATCCCAAAACAGCTAGAAGACCTCACACCTCTCCTGAGGGGCAGTTTCGTAGTTGAGGTCAGATCGTAGATGGGAGCATTCTTGAGGAGTGCCCCTTCCCAGCACTTCAAACGTCATTTGAAGAAGGTCTTCCCTTCCCAGGGGAGTGTGCACGGTGACAAAGCCTTGATCCCATACGTGCTTTCCCTCCCACTAAAAAAATACCGAGCTTAAAGGAGGGAAGAGAGGCAAGCATGAAAATTCCACTTTCTTTCCCGGGTTTCAGAGAAGTGTTCATTTGTACTTGCATTGCCCAGAGACTGAGTATCAGCATAGCTTCAGCTCCAGAAGACTGGACGCCTCATGCCTTCTTGAATGTGAGCAGTTGTTGAGGATCCTGATGGACTTGACACAGCAGAGTGGACTGAAGAGCACTCTGTTTGGGTCCCTCGGAATCCCAGTTGCCCGCCGACCCTGGAGGCTGACTGACATTTAAGGCTCTGTTGACAGGTAGCTTACGCCAGAGGGACAGCGCACTTCCAGGAGTGTCATGGCACTCGAGCTAAAATTTCACAAGAAGCCTTTAATTCAGCCATGCCACCACGCTGTGGATCTGGGGAAGAGAAAACCAGTCAGTTGTTAATAACCTTTATTTATTTGTAACGTCATCCAGAATGGTTTTATGCGAAGTCAGAGATCAGAAATACTTGGTATAAATAGTGGGTCACACAGCCGTGAGGCATGCAGCCACAGCCCGTCAAGGGCCACTGACTTGGTTAGAATGAAAAGACTGTCAGATGGTTTCCCTCCTCCTCTGGAGGTAGGTAGAGGTAGTGGTTGAAATACAAATTAGTTGATAACCCAAAATCCAGTGCCTTTCCCATGTAGCTGAGTGGGAGCAGTTGGAGACTCAGGCTTCCCCTGTGTTGGAGGCCCACCACTCCCTTGGTGGCTCACCTTCAGGGGCACGGCGCATTTCCCCTCTCGCCCTGTGGCGGTGTCTATCGCTCCTCATCTAGGGATGCTGAAGATGTGGTCTCCATCCTGGGTAGCAGGTGCCCAGCTCAAACTCCTGTCCTTAAAGGAGGTGGGAGAGCAGCTGTGAGCAACAGGAGGCGGGCTCGCAGCAAAGACAGGGAGAAGGTGAGGCCTGGAAACCAGGAGGCTCGTGCTCACCTGTGCTTAGGTTTTGCCAACTGCCCCTGAGGTCTGAGGCGGCCAGGAAGCTCAGCGCCACTGTGGGCTCGTGCCGCTCAAGAGTTACCATGGAGAGCTCATTCCATGATGAAACACTTTCAAACGAGGCCATGGCTTTCTCCCCTCCTCATAAATAGAGCAAAGTTTCTACATCCCCTGGGAGCACACAGCCAAGGTAGTCAGAGCATTTGGAATAAATAATTTACCATCTAGTGATTATGTTCCTGGGGTGATGATGGCGAGGTTGAATTTTTAGCAGGGGGAAGAAGGGAACAAAGCTAACAAAAATTGAGGTTAAAACAAAGTAATAAACATTTACACTTTGCTTCAGGTGGGGGTGCTAATGATGAAACGCTCAGAGCCTAGCTCCTGTTTAATTTTTGATGCGAAGCCATCAGGGAGTCATTCTCCTTCACTTTCAATTTCAGCGGGTCCTGAAACCCTTGCGTTCTCCACGGTAATGACCTGTGCTTTCTGTTCCCATTGAGGGTGCTTCGCCCGCTGATGGATCGGTGCAGATGGAGGCCATGTGCTCTTGGAAGGCTTTCTCCCGGCCTCCTCCTTGGGCACCTGCCATCTTAGGCTTGTTTCCTGAAATCCCCGGCTCTTGCCTGGATGGCACGTTTTCTAGGCAGTGATTCATCTAGCAGCCCACAGCTCAGAGCCCCACTGCTCCCAGCTGCCGAGGGGTGGGTTGCCCCACGATTCAGATTAGCTGATCACGCTAATCGCAGCTCTTCTCTTCCCAGATCTGCTCTGAACACTCGGAACCTGCTTCTCCCTCTCACGGGGAGCGCTGCGGGCTGTGGGAAGTGCGAATGCAGACACCTCCCAAGTTGAGCACTTGCCTGGGTGCCAGAACGCGCAGAGAGGCAGCTCCAGCCCGCCACCATGGCCTCAGGATTCTACAGGACTCACTTTCCCACTTTCCCTTAGTGAGAATCCCAAATTAAGACTCCAAGTTCATTTTAATTTTACCCTAGAAAATGCAAGTAGTTTTAATCAACTGATAAAATGCTCAACAGAGAATACTGCTGTGTGCTGTTAAGAAGGTTGCCATATAATTTTAGAGTTTAATGGGAACTCTGAGGTCCTCTAATCTGACCCTTTCCTTTTGTAAAAGAGTAAACACCCAAAGGCCCAGAGAGGGGGTGGGCCACTGGCCACGGTGCCCAGCTCTGAGCTTGCCCAGCGCTGCCCGCCGCTCTCCCCTGCCCTTCGTCCAGGGTGGACTGACCTTCACCGTGTGCTGGTGATCGTGTTTGACCATTTGGTTTTCAGTGGGTCTTAGAATCCTCACACGTTCTTTCTCCTCCGTCCTCCTGTGAACCTTGAACAAGTCCCTCGTCCTGTCTCACTAGAAGGCTGCGCCCTCCAGTCCCTGGCCCTGCACAGCTTCTCTCCGCTTCCTCCCAGTGACCCAAGCGATCCCCCTTCTCCGCGCTTCCTTTCACATCAGTCTCCACTGAGCCACCATGTACAAACAACACTACCATCTTGGGCTGCTGTCCTAGCACAGAAATGTGTGACTTGTTGATGCGATCTCCCAGTGGTTGTGCCTGGGTGGGGGCAGCCTTTAAGAGCTGTCAGGCCAAACGGTGACCGTGTGGGTCACACTTCTTAGGATCGTCACCCCCTGGCCCTGCTGCAGATTCCTTGGTTTTTGTCTCTCTCTTGGGGAAGGGCTGAAGGGGCACCGTGGACCACGCTGGAGGGGTCTCTCCAGGGCGGCCTGCTTCTAATAACTTCGTCTAGAACACCCGACCAGGACCGCAGAAAATGGGGGGGACGTTTTTAACGAGTTATAATTCTTTTTGCTTCATGATTTTGAAGAGATGGGGCTGCGAGGGGCCATGTAAACCTGCTTCACAGAGGGCACAGCCCCAGAGGTGCCCGCCGGGCAGCAGCTGTAGCCAGACCACCCGGGACTCAGAGCGGGGCTTGGTGGCCACCAGCCCCACAACCCCCACTTCACTCCTCACCTCCTTCACTTTCTTCTTCTGACTCCTGAAGTTGAAACTTTTTTGATTAAATTCAAGGAATCTTTATAGAGCTTAATTGCAATAATTGACTTTGCTTCTGTCTTAAAGAGTAAATACCTCCCTCAACGCTGCTGAATAACCATTTTGCCTGCAGTCTGGGCACTTATTGAGCATATGGGAGCTATTTATTGCCCGTACTTTGAGGCACTTTTGATTATCTCCTGATTGCCTCTTAATTAGATTGGTGGGGGGAAGGGCATGCTTGTGCAAAGGGAGCCAGTCTGTGAAAAAATGAAATGTATTTCATACATTTGAATAATGAAGAAGAGTTCTGTAGTCTTTTTGTTCATCTTAAATGTTTACTGTTTTTCTGGATTTTTAAGTTTTTCACTCTTGTTTTGATCCTTTATGAAGACATCATGGAAAGGTGCCCTCTTACAAACAAACCCGCACTCTCGTTAGTCTAAATAAACAACGTGGAATCCTTGAGTCTCTCAGGAAGTTGCCTGGAAGAAGAGAGTGCAACACCAGACACTAAATCCCTTGTATTGATCGTCACTTTGTTTCCACAAGGAGCACATTTCAGAAAGAAAGGGAGAGTCAGAGTGAAAGAATCGTTGTATCTGGGGGAATCTGCCCTTTGGTCTGTGGCGGCAGAGAGAGAAAGTGAGGTGATTATTTGTGTCCAGTTTAGAATTAACATCAAGTGTTACACGGCAGGAAACAGTAGCTCTCTGTGAGGGTCCCTCGCTCTGTGTCAGCAACCCTGCCAAGGCCTTCCTGTTATCTCAGGGTCTCACGAGGACCCCGTGAGGGACACACAGTCGTTAGCCCATTTCACAGATGGTGAAACTGACCCTAGGGAGATGAAGCCGTGAGCACAAGGCCTCAGAGCCAGGCTGTCGAGTCAGCAGTGCCCACTTTGTAAGGGTGCTGAGTCAGGTCCCGATGCCATAAGAAATCCGTGGAGAAGATAGCCAGGTCCACTCATCAAAGAGACTGTTGCCTTTCCACTTAAACAAGCAACGCCTGTGCTGTCCCCCAGTGGTTTGTGTTTGGCACAGGTCCAGACCACACAGGGAGGGGTGCTGGGGCCTAGTGGTGCTGGCGACGCTGGGGGTGGGGAAGCCAGTCCTGACTCTGGGTGGGATGAGGGTCCACAGGCGACCCCCTTTCTCCTGGCCCCATACTGGCCCATTTCTGATAAAGTGCCTTCGCCTGACCTCAGCGTTGCGTGGCGCATTTGTGTGTGACGCTGCCACTGTCCAGCCACCATGGTGCCACAACTGCTCCATCAGCATGGGGAGGTTGCCAGCTGGATGCCCTCAGGTCGGGGGCAGAAACTACATTGCAAAGTGGGATCAGTCCCTTTTTTTTCCCTAAGCTTTTTTCTCATTTTAATTTGAAGAGAAAAGATGTCACAAACGGTGGTTTTAGTGTGCTGCCAGATGCATGCTCCTACTTCTCCCTTGCCCTCTGCCAGTGGCGGGCCATGGCTCTACCCAGCCTCAGCCGCCCGTGGGCACCGTCTGCTGCTCTGTGCTGTCCAGGGCCCCTCATGGGTAAAGCCGGTCAGTAACGCTCTGTGGGTGTTCGTCTCTGTTCTCTCCTCAGGCAAGCCTGGGACCTTGCTGTCGACATTTGTCTCTCTCAGCTGCCGACAATCATTGAGGAAGGCACTGCATTTCGGGTGAGTCCCTCTGAGGGCATCCTGCACGGTCCACTGTGGTGGCTACTTCTCTGAGCACTTGGTCTGCAAAGCCCCCAGTCAGGGTGTGGCGCCCAGGACTCTGGGGTGTCAGAGATTTTGTTCACTTGCCTGGGAAAAGATGCAATTAGCCAGAAGTTTAAAAGATTGCGTCAGCCAGGGGTTAAAGTGAGATTTTGAAATGGTCAGCTCTTAAAAAATATCTTCTGGGGCCGGCCCCGTGTCGTAGCGGTTAAGTGGGAGCGCTCCGCTGCTGGCGGCCCGGGTTCGGATCCTGGGCGCGCACCGACGCACCGCTTGTCAGGCCATGCTGTGGCGGTGTCCCACATGAAGTGGAGGAAGATGGGCATGGAGGTTAGCTTAGGGCCGGTCTTCCTCAGCAAAAAGAGGAGGATTGGCACGGATGTTAGCTCAGGGCTGATCTTCCTCACACACACAAAAAAAATTTTCTCTTAAAATGTTGCTGTGGTAGATCTACTTTTCTTTGTGCGCACCCTGGTCCCAGCTTCATGTTCTAGCCTTTTAACTGTGAATGGATTACGGGTTACCCCAAGGCCTGTGACTCCGCCCTGCCGCCCAGTGCCGGTGCCTGGAAACCTTGAGAGTATAATGCTCAGCCCTTAGGGAATATCTGCTCCGCAGGCCGTGTTTTGCAGGCCAAGTTTCATAGGTGGTGGTCTGGGGGTGGTTGAGTGAATCTCGTTTTACTCACAGCGCCTGCAGGGAATCCACTCCACCCAGGGTCTTCACAGCAGCTCACCAAGAGCCCCTCTTTTTCTGCCATGCAGCTCCCTTCTTTTCATTCAAGATTCATTTACTGAGTGTTTGTTGTGTGTTAGACACCAAGTCTCAGGGGCACATGAATAAGACCAGGTCCCTCCTGCAAGAAACCCTTGAGAAAAGAGGAGAGTCACACCCATCCGAGTTAGAGACCAGTTAGAGACAGGTGAGGGGCGTGGGGAGCAGAGGCACCTGATGGCTTGCCTGAGGGCCCGCGAAGGCGTGCAGGTCTGGGTGGCGGGGGACGGACCATGTCCACGGGGGAGCAAGTGGGGCGGCTCCAGGCCGTCCAGTGTGGCTGAAGTAAGTCAGAGGCTGGGGCTTGAGGGTCACAGGCACCTGGCCTTTTCTACCCACACCTTCATCTCTGGCTCCACTCGAGAGGCTCCAGTGGGCAAGTTAGCCCCCCGTGCTTCAGTTTCATCATTTTACAAGGGCAATTACAGTGGTATCCTATTCATGGGGCACGCAAGGACTGAAGAGTTAAGATAGTTCAAGTGCCCAGGACAGAGCCTGGCACGTGGCCTGTGCTGGACGAGTGTTCCTGACCCTTAATGTACACAGGGATCACCAGTGCCAGCATATCATGCCCCTTGAGCCAAAGTCAGAGGCACCCACGTCCCAGAAAGGTTAAGCAAAGGTGTTTAGCTTTTAGTGTACACCACAACCATCGGGGAAGCTTTTAACCTACTGAATCAGGGGGTGTGGGCGTGTGTGCGTGTGCGCGTGTGCGCAGCGGGGTTTGCATGTACATGCGTGTACGTGTATGTGCCTATATGTGGGGAGGTGTTGTGTATCTGTGGGGAGTGTGCATGCACAGGTGTGTGTACATGTGTGCGTGCATGTGGGGTGTATTGTGCGTGTACATGTCTATATATGTGGGGGGGTGCACCTGTATGTGCATATATGTGTGTGTGTACATACCTGTGTGTTGGGGGGGAGTGGTGTGTGTGTTAACTCCTCAGATGATTTTGATGACCCCTGGGGCTGGGCTAAGAGGCCTTCCCTCTTTATTGCTTGAATTTTTTCATATTTTACTATGAAAATTTTCAAGCCTACAGCAAAGTTGCAAGAATTTTACAGTGAGCACTCATTTCCCTACCACTTAGTTCTACCATTAACATTTACCATACTTGCTCTAGCATCTCTGTCCCCATCTCCAGCCCCCTGCCATCTCCCCTCTATCACCCCACCATCTCCCCTTCATCCCCTCCTCCATCCCCACATCCCCCCATCCTCCCCTCCATCCGCCGTTTTTTTTTTTTAAACGCCCTTACCGGTCAGTCTTGACCCCCTTGCGTTTTAAACCCTTAAGTGGGAGCTGGCAGGGTTTTCACTTGGCTCTCACCAGTGTGTTTGGCACTGCCCCTTGGGTCCTTCCCCACTAAACCCTAGACTCTAGGAAAGGGCAGGTCTCGTGCACAGTCACAGACCTCTGTGGGGACAGTCTTGGCCACCGTCTCTCATGCACTCCACCTTTACTCCACCAGGCAGCCCTTCTGCGTGCCTAAGCTCTCAGACGGGGGACAGGGCCTGCCGCTGCAAACACGTGTTTGGAAAACCTCATGGGACTTGGGCTTTTTGTACTCTGTGCGTGGTTTTACTGTGTACTGTTAAGGGATCAGAATTATATACTCTTACATAAAGCAATACAGTTTCTGTATTATTATCCTGCTGCTCCAGTGCCAGCTGTCTTTCCAAGGATCTTGATACTTCATTTCTAATCTACTAGAATCAATATTCTGCATTTGGGAATAATTTCACCAAATTGTCATGGGAAAGGGGTAACTAATGTAGACCACACGCTAGCTTTTTTATTTTGTTTTCACTTTTTCAGAAGCATAATATACATGCAGAAAAGTGCATGTATCATAAATGTACAGCTTGATGAATTTTTGCAAGTTGTAACCAGCGCACAAACCAAGCAGCACAACATCAGCAGTCCTCAGAAGCCCCCTTCCTGCTGCCTTCTGGCCACTGCCTTCCCCATGGGTAACCCCCTGTGACCTGTTCGTACTTAATAAATGGAATCCTACAGGGTGGAGCCTTTGTGTCCGACTGCTTTCACTCAACATTAAGTTTGCTCCATGTAGTTGCAGCTCACTCTTATTGCAGTGTGGAATACTCCAAAGGTCATCTGTCTGTCCTGTGGCCAGTGGGCATCTTGAGTTTCCAGGTGTGGCCCTCACCAGCGGTGCTGGCTGGTGCTGGGCCGAGTCACTGGAGCCTGAGGCAAAAGGAGAGATCAGTGATACTGAGCCTGTCTTCATTTGACATTTTCATATTTTGTTCATTATGGATTTTTGCATTAATTATTATTTTTTAAATACTGCATTAAAGTATTTTTTATCTCGATTACTGAGTTTTTTGGTGCCCCCTTAAATTTTGTGCCAGAAGTGAATGCCTCGCTTGCTGTGCCCTGGGTGCTGCTAATTCCTTATGTGGCTTTGGTGCATTGGTGTCAGGTGTCTACACTAGGAGTGAAACTGCTGGTCACCAGGTACGCATATGTTCAGTTTTTGTAGGTACTATACTGCCGGTTGTCCAAAGTGCTTGAATCAGTTTACATTCCTGCCTGCAACGTATGAGAGTTTTGGTTACGCTATATCCTCATCAGTACTTGATATTTTCCATCTTTTATTTTCCTTTTGGCTGTTCTGGTTCAGTATGAAAAGAATTTCTTTGAGATTGTATCTTGTATTTCCTTGATGGTTAATAGTAATTGAGCACTCTCTCGTTTTTTGTTTTTTGTGGGATTTTTTTTGGTGAGGAAGATTGGCCCTGAGCTAACATCTGTTGCCAATCCTCCTCTTTTTGCTTGAGGCAGATTGCCAATCCTCCTCCATTTTGTATATGGGACGCCACCACAGCATGACTTGACAAGTGGTGTAGGTCCACACCTGGAATCCGAACCCGTGAACCCAGGCCACTGAAGTAGAGCACGCCAAACTTAACCACTACACCACTGGGCCAGCCGCTGTTTCGTATTTTTATTGGCCATGTGAATATCCTCTTTTGTAAGTTGCCTGTTCAAGTCTTTTAACCATTTTTCTTTTGTGTTATCTGTTTCTTACTGATTTGCAGTGGTTCTGTATATACTGTACTCTGAATACAAATCCTTTGTCACACATGGTGAATATCTTTTTTCACTCTGTAGACTTCATTTTCACTTTTTTAATGTTTTTTCTTGCTGGACAGAAGTTTTTTGTTTTAGCATAATCCAGTTTACCCATTTTTTTCTTTTATGGTTAGGGCTTTTGGTATCCTGCTTAAGAAATCTTTACTTACTCTGGACGAACATCTCTGAGATGATGATGTTCTCACCTGCTGTCCACCTGGAATTTACTGTATATGGTATGAGGTCGGGGTCAAGATACATTTTGTTCGTGCATGGATGTCCAGCTTACCCAGTGTTGTTTACATCAAATCAGGTGGCCGTGTGTGGGGCCGTTTCCAGGTTCTCTGTTCTGCTCAGGTGCTCACCTTGTCCTTGCACCAATACCAAACAGGCTTGACTGTGAAGGCAGTTTTGATCGAGATTATGATAGATACCTAGATTGACTTGGGAGACATTGACATCTGTACAATATTGAGTCTTCTAATCCATCAACATGGCTGTAAATGGTATTTTTTTAAATTTCATTTTCTTTTTCCTCATTCTTTGCATATATATTGTTTACAAGTCACTTTGTATAGCAACTTTACTAAATTCACTTCTTTGTTCTAATAATTTTCCCATATAATACTGGCCTTATCTTTGTGTATCTTTTCAGATACACAAAAAGAAAGCCTAGGATGTATGTTAGTCTTCCAAAGTCAGCAGTTGGAAGTGATAGATTTTAATTAACAACGAAATAGAGCCCTATCAGAATTGATGTTTGCTGATGTAGGGAGAGTGGGGAGGAGGAGGATTCGCACGCAGTGGGAAGTTTGGGTAACTGACTTTCTCAGGGGTGTTTACAGAGAGCCCTTCTGTAGGCCCAGTGGTCTGACAGATGGTTGGAATTTGAATGCTCTTAGCCACTTGGCAGTATTCTTTTGTCCCCTGTTTTAAGCAGTGAAATCATTGTAAGTAGCGAGTATATCAGGACAGACACAGCCAGTGTCAGTGTGTTTGGACCAGGGATGGCACATGAGAAGAGTGAGAAGTGTATAGACATTGACTAGCTTCTCTCTCTTACAGCAGCAGCATAAATCTGGGTAGGTTAGCCCCAGTGGTCAAGCGTGGCTCTGCACCCAGAGCTGGCCTTCCCGCTTTCTGTGCATTGCACTCGGCGCCTGTTCTCAGACCCCTAGACCATCTGACACGTGGGCTGACAACAGAGCAGACCACCTGGCGTCAGAATTGTCCTGGGAGGCCCTGGATGCGTGGCCACATCACTCACAGCCTCCACCCACCACTCTCCTCTGGAACATTCATCCTGGGTTCCATTTTCTTCTCCCAAGAATCTGAACGGTAGCTCTGACACACTGTGGAGGGAATCTTGGAGATCTGGCCTAAAACATCAGCTCCGTGAGTCATCATTAGATGCAGAGGGGGCAGCTCCTGAGCTATTTTGTGTAGCGTTATTTAAAATGCTGAGCTGTGCTTGGGTTGGGAGCCTGCTCTAATTTGTCAGTTCCCCCATGGCTTTAAGAAGCATGGCAAACCTCACAGTGTACTTTGATGGCAAAGGCTGTTCCTTCTTTGTTAGTTTTAGGTGAAAAGATCAAGAAGATTTGTCTTTTTTTCTGCATGGAGCAATATGTCCAGCAATGAGCAACATGTGAACATTCATGAGGCGAAAATTATTTTGAAAGGAAGGGGGAAGAGATGGAATTACCTGAATTACCTGGCTTTGAAGATTTTCCCTAACTCAGTATAACTGTATTCTCACCAGATGTGGGGAGGGGGCACTTAACAAGATGATTGTTTTTAAACCAGTTTATGAATAATTCACACTTAAAAACAGGAAAACCACTTTGGGGGCTCCATTTCAGTTCACAGGTTGCCCTCCAGATTTGATTAACTTAATGTAAGCTGACTTGGCAAGAACATGAATTCCTAAGTGGTAAATGTCCTCTGCTGAATTCTCACGTGACACTGACATTTTTATGAGGGGCATCATGGCCCCGACCACCAGGCTCCTCTGTGGAAGGCTTACATGTGTCCTGAGGCCCCACCCACGGCTTAGAGTCGTTTATACACACATGCCCGAGCCTGGGGGTCATAGCCCCCATCCCTGCCCTCCCACTGTCCCTTCCTTACACGCCTCTAAAATGCAAACACCCACTTTCCCCCTTGGAAACAGAGAAAGTAGAGGATAGTGGATGGGGGCAGAGATTTGTAATTTGGAGTTCTTTTTATTTGGGGCTCAGGAGAGGCAGCACTGTGTATGAAGTGGAAAGGATTCTCTGAGACAGAAAAACCCAGCAGTCCTTCCACTTGCTTGGCTTCTCTGTTCTCAGACCTCCTTCCAATGGCCTGGTCCCCCCTCTACCTGAGCCGCTTCTTCTGTGGTGTACCTGGTCCTTGTCATCCCCGGTAAAGCACCCCTCCACAATGTCCTCTGTGTAAGGACAGACCAACCTCGACTCCCCCACCGCTGCTATCTAGCTTGTCCCCTCCTTCACTCTGACTTCGCTGTGCTCCAAGCTCACCAGCACCAGGTCCAGTGACTATTGCCTGCTGCCTCCCTCCCCCCACTGACCCCAGGCCAGGGGTTCTGTCATTCTCACAGGCACTCTGCTCCCTTCACCCACTCCATGGTCCCGAGTCAATCCACACCTGTCCACTCTGAGCCTGCACCCACGCACTAAGCTGTCCTGGGGAAACCCACTGGACCCTGCTGTGCTCACTGCCCTTGAGGGGTCCTTGAATGCTGCCCTATGGTCTGACCCGACATTCTCCTCCATTCCTTCCCATTCCTGCTCTCCCGTTCCTCTGCGCTCTGTCCAACTCCAGCACCTCCTCCCTGATGATACCTAACTGGGAAATAGAAGCAAACCTCTGCACAACCCCCAGCATAGCTGCCCTCGTCCCTGCGCCAGGCCCATCTGCTTTCCCGTCCCCTGTTCCTAGAGAGCTGCTCATGCTCCCAGCAACACCAGCCCTGCACCTATGCATCAGGACCTGCGCGAGGCCATTGCCCAGTGGCCTCCCTCCTCCATCAGCAGCCCCACCCTTTACCAGATCTCTCTCGTCAGCTTATAAACATGCCGTATTCTCCCATCTTTAAATAAAAACTCCTGATCACTTGATCCCCTTCCCTGTACTCCCTCTCTGTTTCTCTCCTTCCTCTTTGCAGCCAGATTCCTTCAAAGAACTGTATATATGTGTTTCCAAATTCTCTTCTGTTCTCCTTTGAACCCACTCCAGTTGTGCTTCTGCCTACTCCCACCCTGAGACTGTTCTTAATTGTCTCCAGTGACCTCTGTGCTGCTGAGCCAGGTGCGGTTGGTTCTGACTCTTAGCTTGCCTGACCTACCACCAGTCTTTGACACTGTCCACACTTCTCCTTTTCACACTCTGCCCTCTTGTGGCCTCCTGGCCACCACCCGCTTCTGCCCTCCGTCTGCTGGCCTGGCCCTTGCTGGCTCCACGTCATCTCCTTGACCTCTTAACTGGTAGAGTCGCCAGGGATCAGCCCAGAGTTCCTTCTCTTTCTTACTTAACTTTAAACTAAGGTTACATCTCCAGCCCAGACCTCGCTCCTGAACTGCAGACGCACGCAGTCCATCACCCTCTTGATGTCTTCACTCGGGTGTCCAGTAAGCATCTTAAACTTGATGCATCCAAGGCTGAATTCCCCACATTCTCCTCCCAAACATGCTTCTTCCACAGTCTTCCCACCTCAGTTCATAGACCCCACCCTTCCTGGTGCTCAGGCCGAGAGCCTCGGAGTTATCAGCTCCTTTTCTCTTACCACCTCCACTCTGTTCACACATCCTGCTGGCTCTACCTGTGTAATGTATCCAGAGTCCAACCACTTCTCAGCACCTCCTCTGCTACAGCCCTGGCCCATCCTCTCTCGCCTGGATGGTTGGGGTGGTGCAGAGTTGGTGCCTCATGAAGACAAGGGGACTGAATTGATGGGCAGGCTGGGTGTGTAAAGGCAAGGCTGAATAAGAAATAGTGGGTTCCTAACTAACTCCCCACCCTGCCTTTCCCACAGCACAGTCCATTCTTTGCTGAGCAGCTGACTGCGTTCCAGGTGTGGCTCACAATGGGCGTGGAGAACAGGAATCCACCTGAACAACTTCCCATTGTTTTACAGGTGAGTTTCTTCAGATTGGGCCAGATTGGCTGAGTGTATCCCACAGAAGGAAGCTAGAAAACTTCACAGTCTCCTGGGGACTAGTTTATCCAGGGATGTGTGTGTGTGAGTGTGTGACACACAGCCCTCTCCACTGTCCTTGGCCATGCCCTGGACCAGATGGCGTTCGGGGGAAATAAATCACACAAAGCCATCAGCAGTCGTTGGAGCTGACTGCATCCTTACTCCTATAGGGCTTTCCCAGTAAAGTCATTGAATCCCTGCCACCACCCTCAGTTCAATCCTAATTGGAGTTGCAGTCAGCCACTCTCCCCATCTCCCTGTTTACGCTTTAGGGGACATTGATGGAATGCTGCTGCAGACGAGCTTCGCTTCATTCCAATGCGGGCTGTCGGCATCAGTGACCCTTCTTTTTGGAAGGACATGAGATGCCAATCAGTCCTGGGAGAACAGAGATGAGGAGCACTGAGCAAATTGCAAATGGGCCGTGTGGGCTCCAAACCAGGCATCTGTGGGTTATTGATGAAGTGGCATGACCGCCTGGACCAGGAGCCATCCCCCTCCCTCTCCCTAAGGGTGTGTCGGTGTGGGGGCTATTGCACTTTCTGGGAGTGCTGTCAAATGCCAGTCACTCACATGGCCGGTGTCAGTGTCCACACTGCACATTGTGCCCCACTAGTGGGTAAGGAGATAGTTTTGTGGGTCTCGCCCAGATAATTTTTTAGTTAATGAGATCAGATGCGATGGCATGGCAAAATACCGAAGTTTGTCACAGGTAGGAAGATTATAAAATTTCCACAGAACTTTTGTTTCCGTTAATGTGTATTTATGGGAGAGGTGTGTGGACTGGGTCGTGACATAAGGAAAGCTGTTTTACTCTGGGACAGTGTCAAACGAGTTTTAAACCCATTGGTCAGTGTAGACACCAAGGTCTAATAACTCACTTTAGAAGCTGGAAAAGATTTTCTGCAGTCGGGGTGGGGCAGTTGAACTTGGGCGAGAAGCTGTGGACAGTCGTGGGGATGGGTTGCGCCAGCAGCAGAAGGGGTGTGTTTCCGTCTGTGTTCAGTTGTGGAGTGGAGAAGGTGCTCCCCTGCTGGGTTTGGGGTCTTAAGTTCTGACTGGCAGGGCGGGATCATCACCTTCCCCCGAGAAAGCTGGTTCGGTCACTCTGCCTCTATGAGGCAGGAGCATGAGCCTCGTCGTCCACCTGTCCAAGGACATGTCCTCGTTTCCTTCTAGGCAGGGCTGTGCTCTCTCACTCAGGCTGCCCACCACATCACAGTGGAGGCACTGTCAGTCTCCACTAGGCCAGATGCTCACCCAGAGCAGCTCCCACTGCTGAGACTCATCTGAAAATAGGTGAACAGTGTATCTCTGCCACTACCATAGAGTATGCAGCGCTTCTCCAGGTGCTGGTCTGCTCGGCCTCCATGTCGGCCACACGACAGGCTGTGAAGATCGTTTTCTTGCAACAGAGCTGAGGTTTCCCTGGTTCAGGACTGTGTGCCAAGAATCCCAGACAGCAAAAAGAGGAGTTGAGAGAAGGAGGAGTGCCTATGAATGTTGCAGAAATGCAGCAATAGCCCGTTCTTGCACACATTAATAACGAGATGGGCGACAGAGAGTAACTGCACCATGATGCTGCACGGGAGATGTTTTGGTGCTTCTTGTATATCATGATTGCTGCTTTTCTGATGTTATGAAAAGAATGCAGAAATTATTACTGTTCCTCTTGTGTGCTTCCAGATTGCTTTTAGACTATCCTGAGTTTGCAAGGTGAGCTGTAAACAAATAGACAAATTTTCAAAACCGAAAGAAAAAAATGCAATGACAACAACAAAACAGAGAAAACTGGCCATTTGGCAGAAGCCAATGCCCTCTCATTCCGTGAGTGCCGCAAGGTGGCTGGGTGTGAATGAAGGGTGGGCAGACAGGATTTCGGGGGACGGCAGTGGTGCAGGTTGGACCTGCTGTGCTCCGAAGCTCCTTCTGGGTCACCAGAATTTTCAGCAGAGGAGCCTGTGGCCCTCCCACTGACCTCCCTATTATTTCAGCAGTGTGATGGGGTAAAATCAGTGCTCTCCAAAGCAGGGGCACGATGCCAAGTGTGTTAAATCCTGTTCTTCTAGGTCTGGCAAACAATCCTTTGTAAATGGCCTTCTATTAACTTTTTTTCTTTTAATGTTCCATTTACAATCCACACTCCCTCAGGGAAAGAGAAGACTAATAGAGCCAACTGTCTGAGGCTGAAATGAGGGAAAATAACTGGGACAGAAAAGAAGGGAGGCATTTTCTGTGTGAGCTCTCAAACAAATGTAAGCCACGGATTCTTCCTCGTTCTGGAGGAGTCTGTCTCTGGGCTGTGCCCAGCCTGCATCTAGGCGTGAACTATGCTGAACAGGAACACAAGGGAGACAAAATGCAAAGGAGCACTGGCTTCATTTGGTGCCGCCCACAGTGTTGGCCACTTTCTTGTTAATGCCGTTAACTTCACCATGCTTTATCTAAAGAAATTTTATTTTTGCCAAAGGCTGGACCCCATTATCCATGAATTATCCTCTGGTGCCTCAGCGAGTCAGAAAGTATTGCTTCGTAGATTTTCTAATCCCTGCTACTTTTTCCGCAAGCCAGAGAGGATGTTCTCCGTCCAAAGAGTCAGAGGCATTAGCTGGTGGCCATCAGGGTCACGTGAAGCGTCTCCTTGGGCTGGCTGGTGTGCAGCTTGTTGAGTAACTGTAAACATGGAAGTATGCGTTTTCTGACCAGCACCGATGTCCTTTTTTGCCTTTTAAAAATATAATTCAACAGAAGGGATAGGAAGGGAGATTCTGGAGCCCCCAGCCCTACAAGGCCTGGTGCACGAGGTCTCCTGGTCTCGGTGGCTCTGCCTGGACTTGACGTTACTGTCTGCACTCCCTCAGGTGGCGTGTGCATGAAGAAGCCCCGGGCAGAGAAGGAAAAGTTGATGTCATAGAAAAGAGGGGAAGATGGGGTTTTATAAGGATGTACTTTTAGTGCCTTTACACAGATCTTGCAAGTCAATAGGGCATTTCATTAGGAAAACCCTGTTTGCTTTTATTGCGTCATTCTATTTACAAATACAATTTTTGGTCTGAAAGTACAGGATTATTATTAGGTGACAGCGGGATAATAACTGGGGTGTTATTATGTACACCTTAGCAGCGGCTCCAGAATCTTTGATCGTCAGATTCCCAGGCGCCTGGCCTGCAGGGTCCACCATGCCAGGGCTGGAGCTTGGGAATCTGTTTTTTTTAAGCAGCAGCTCTACCAAGAAGTCTCAGCCCAGAAGCCTGAGTGCCCTCTTTGTACACAAAGCAAATGAAATGTACTTATCCTAGCAAGCTCTGTTTTAATTCAGGTATTCATTCACCATGATTAATCTTTGGGTTGCTACAAATGAAAAGAAATCCCAGCAACTCATTCAGTTCACCAACATTTATCTTTGTCATTTGTGCAGATCCTGGGGCAGTCTGAACCAGGAATTAAAAAAAAAAAGTTCAAATCCAAACAAACAAAAGCCAATCCTTATTTTAAAGTAATTTTAGTTTATGTTGGACTTCGCTTTTTTTTAATATAAATGAACAGAAGGAATTGGAAAATGTAATGTTTAAAAAACCCCATACTTGACATTTTCCCTAGGACTCTTGATTGACAATGTGTATTTTCCAATAAAACATTAATAATAGCAGCATGAAATCCTGCACTGCCGACAGTCTTCAGACTCTGAGTCTCTGAGACAAGGGGGCTGTCGATGCCCCAGTGCATATTTTTTTTTTTTTAAAGATCTTTATCTTTAAAAAGATAAATAATCTTAAAAAAAAGATTTCCCCCCAAAGCCCCAGTAGATAGTTGTGTGTCATAGCTGCACATCCTTCTAGTTGCTGTATGTGGGACGTGGCCTCAGCACGGCTGGAGAAGCGGTGCGTCGGTGCGCGCCCGGGATCCGAACCCGGGCTGCCAGTAGCGGAGCGCACGCACTTAACCGCTAAGCCACGGGGCCGGCCCAACCCCAGTGCATGTTTCATCGACCTGTTTGGCATGGTCAGGCAGACCCTGTCACAGTGGTGACTGTGGCCAGTTCCCTTTATTTACTTTCCCATTTGTGGATAAGACGTTGTAATGGAGATCTCTTACTGCTGGTTAGTGCACTCCCCTGGTTGGGAGGGTCTTAGCCCCCTGCTGCCGTTGCTTCCATTGCAGACTGCTCTACTATTTACCTTAAAAAACAGCTTTATTCATGTTGACAGTGTTTTAAATAACAAAGGGAATCAGAAAACAGAATCTTCACAAGCTTTAGATATATTTGAAGTCTTTGATTTTTGACAGATTGCAGCTGCTTTCACAGACCTAGTAAACAGAAGGTTCTGCTCACTCTGGATCATCTAGAAACTTGAACCTCAGGCAGTTTCATTTCCTTTAAAAACAAATACAGTCAATCAAATTGCTTCTGAGGGATGGAGACCTCCTGTAACTGTATGCTGAAACTGCAGTGTTAATATTTATTACGCACCCTCATGCTAGCTGCTTTCATAGACTTTATCTCATTTAATTTTGAAAATAAACCCAAGTCAAATGTTATTATCTCCACTTTTCTTGATGAGGAAACAAGTTTCCAGAGGTTAAGTAATTTAAGACACTACTAGGAAGTGACAGAGTCAGGATTAAAATCAGGTCAGCTGGACTCCAAAGCGCACATTTCCCAGTGTCTGTCTGCCCCTCCAAACCTACATGTCAGACAGCAAGGGTGTGTGATAACCCATGAGTTACATGTGGGAAGGGGATCAGGTCTCAATTCAGATATGCTCCTGTGAGCAGCCCCCACATCATCTTTCTCAGCTTCTTAATCAGAGAGTCTCTCAACATCTCCAAACACAAAACATACCACTCATACATCCATCTTGAGACTGTGATGTGGAAATGGGCTTCAAACCAGTGGAGATGAAGCGAGATGACATGCCTGTGGCGAAACCTGGTGGCTCTTTCTCCTCCTCCGCTTCCGTGACCCCTAGGCTGCCCAGCACAGCTGGAGACACCCTTTCTTGACTCCTCCCAGAGCCACGGGCTTCCCCATGGGGAACTCCCTATCCTCCTCCTCTGGCGTGTCCTTGTCAGGAACCCTGTGCTGTCAGGACCCACTCCTTCCTCTCCTTCCAGCCTCTCTCTCGCTGCCACCTCTGTGCCCACCTGGAGATCCTCCCTGCACCCCCCGCCTTCCTCCCGCCAGCCTGTGTTTGCCCCTTCACAGGGAAGCTCCTTAAACACTGCTCTGGCTGCCCCATTTCCTCACCTCCAACCTGTCCCACCCTGCTCTAGCTTCCATCCCCACGAGTCCACCAAGATCCACACCCTACACCCAGTGGGTCCTCTTCACCACTCCTGCTACTGTGCAGGTGGCACAGTTGAAACCTTCCCTCCCTTGAGTTCAGTGCCGCCTCTCCCTCCTCCACTTCTCCTCCCACCTGTCCCTGCCCTCACCCTTCTCTCTCAGCTCAGCTTCTCCCCTTGCAGACCACACCCGTGTTAGCACTCCTAGCCCCAACCTCACTGGCCTGGCCATCGTCCTTTTCTCTTGCCTCATTCCAAACCTGTCTTCCAGAGTCTCCTTTTCCTGACCCCGCCTTGTCCCTTGCAGACAAGTTCTGTTGCTCACACCTCCCGCCTGTCTTGGAGTCTCTTCCCCACCATCAGTCAAGGCCACCGTCAAGGCCACGCCGTTCCATCCCTCCCTCCGGCCTCCTGCCAGTCCATTCTCTGCAGCAAGCACATTGGATGGTTCACTCTGCTGCTTCATATCGGTCAATGGCTGCTGCTTCTCTTAGGAAAAACAACCTCTTCACCTGGTCTGCAGGGCTGGCTGGGTATGGAGCCCCTCCCCTGTCAGACTGGCCACCCACCCTTCCTCAGACATCCTGAGCCTTCCCAGCCTCCTCTGCCTGGAACCCAGGAACCCCCAATGTTGCCCTCTGGGATCTGGCTGCCTGCTGGGAGGGAAAACCTTTGAGACCCCTCAGAGTAGGGCACAGACCCCCAGGTTATGTTTATTCACAGCACTGCTCACCATGACAGTGGATTATTGCAATGTGGCTATCTAGTGTCTGTCTGCAACTAATTGATGACAGGAAGGGGGCTCCCTGCTATTCCCAGTCACCCTGCAGCACCCAGCATGGCACCCACACAAAGCGAGGCCCCGTAAACACTTGTTGGATGGCTGGGAACATATGTGGACAGAAATGCTCCACATCAGAGGGACTTAGTTGGTACACGTGACCTCGGGTGTAAACACCATGAAGGGAAAGTCAATATAAATGACTCCATTAGAAATCTAAAACTTTGATGTAACAAAGAAAAAAAGAGAAAAATATGTGGCAAAGGTTGCTATTTTTAACTTATAAAGGACTCTTTCATATCAATAAGAAAAAGCCAAACATTTAAGTAGGAAAATCAGGACTTAAATGACCACTTTACTAGAGAAATAGGCAATTAACCTATGAGAAAAATATCTAACCTTACTTGTCATCAGAGAAATTTGGATTGAAAGGATATTTTATTTTTGCCTATCATATTGGCAAATAATAGTTTAATATGGGCTAGTATTGTCCTGGGAGCTTTTAATTTGTTATTTCATTTAACAAAACCCTTGTGAGTAGGTTTTGTGTTATCCTTGTTTTATGAATTAAGGAATTAAGGTTCAGAGAAGTGAAGTAGTTTGCCCAAGGTCACATAATCAGTGAGCACCCCAGCCACTCCACATCCTCCTGCACTGTGCTCGGTGAAGGCTGGAGGGAGAGAGCACCATGTGCATCTTGTTGGAAGTGCAAATTGGTTCGGCTGGAGGGTAGTTTGGTAATATAAGGATATGTGCTCTGACCCTGTAATTTTACTTGTATTTATCCTAGGGAAAAATCGTGTAAATGTGCAGAGATATACCTATTAGGATATTTATCACAGCATTGTTTATAATAGCAAAACTTTGATAATAATGTAAATATCTAGCACTGGGGAAATTGTTCAAATGAACTATGCACATTTATATAAATGAAGTCCTGTGCTGCTGTTGGGAATGATATGGCCAGATGTATCTAGTGATGTGGAATGAGATTCTCAGTATATTGTTATTTAAAAAGGGAGACAAGAAATAAAATACTATACTATCTGGTTTAGAATAAATAAGGGAACAGTGTCTGGAAGTTTATATACCAAAATGTCATTGGTGAAATTTTTTTTTCAATGCAGTTAAAAAGCATTTGTTCTTTCTGTAGTGTGCGTATTTTACCTGTTAATGAAGAAATAGAGTGTTTTCCTAACGCTAAAAGCGTCAACTGTAGGGGCTGGCCCCGTGGCTTAGCAGTTAAGTGTGCGCACTCCACTACTGGTGGCCAGGTTTCAGATCTCGGGCGCACACTGATGCACTGCTTGTCCAGCCATGCTGAGGCGGCGTCCCACATAAACAGCAAATAGAAGGATGTGCAACTATGACATACAACTATCTACTGGGGCTTTGGAGAGAAAAAGGGCAAAAAAAGGAGGAGGACTGGCAATAGATGTTAGCTTAGGGCCGGTCTTCCTCAGCAAAAAGAGGAGGATTGGCATGGATGTTAGCTCAGGGCTGATCTTCCTCAAAAAAAAAAAAATTTTTTTTTAAAGCGTGAACTGTAGAGAAAGGAGCACTGGCTGTAGGTAAATGAATGAACGAAGCAAGGGAGAAATCTGAGCTGCTTGGTCAGACCCCTTGGAGTTAGCAGCTCAGGCAGAAGCTTTGCCAAGGGCTCCACATCACACGGTCTTGGCAGTGATGCCAGTCTTGCAGTGACGCCGTCTGCTTCCTTCTTCCTCAGGTGCTGTTGAGCCAAGTGCACCGGCTGAGAGCCCTGGACCTGCTGGGAAGATTTCTGGACCTGGGTCCATGGGCGGTGAGCCTGGTGTGTGCCTTCTGCACTGACTTGGGGTGGGGCGGGGGCCAGTGAGACTCTGTGCTACAGTCTGAGGACTTACTTCATCACCCAGAAGTGACCATAGCCCTGCAATCAAGGGTGACCGTGGGGATGACCAGTAAGCCCGTGAGGCCCTCAGAGAACATGTGCTGGGCGGCCTTCATTGCCACAGCATTTGGGGGTTTTGTTTGGTTTTGCCCTCTTTTCTGTCTGCTCTTAGGCTTCACCTTGCAGGACAGAAAGTGTTGCTAAGGCCACTTTTTAGGGAGTGGCTCGCCCCTGCCATGGGCAAGAGGCTGGGAACCTGTGAGCTGATGAGGCCTGGGCCACACATGGCAGGTTTTCTCCCAGGAGCAGCCTGTGAGCCTCACTCACTGTTTTTTCACTCTGATTTTAGACACAGTTCTGAAACGCTTTTCTGGTTACTCATTCTGTAGAAGAGTAGAAACGCCACTTAAAACAGAAAAGGCTGACGAAAATAGAATCAGAAAGTGGTCTGGGGCCAGCCCCGTGGCTTAGCAGTTAAGTGCATGTTGTTCCACTACGGGTGGCCCAGGTTCGGATCCCGGGTGCGCACTGACACACCGCTTCTCCGGCCATGCTTAGGTGGCGTCCCACCAGCAACTAGAAGGATGTGCAACTATGACATACAACTATCTACTGGGGCTTTGGGGAGAAAAAGGGGAAAAAAACGAGGAGGATTGGCAATAGATGTTAGCTTAGGGCCGGTCTTCCTCAGCCAAAAGAGGAGGCTTGGCATGGATGTTAGCTCAGGGCTGATCTTCCTCACAAAAAAAAAGTGGTCCATTTTTTCAACAAATCACAAGAGAAAGCAGCTGAGAGAGAATCTGTAGATTAAAGGAGAGTTAAGAGACTTATAAACCAATTGCAATATATGGACCTTATTTGGTTCTGTTTGCAAATAAAAGTTTGAAAGTTAAAGTTTGAAAAATTAATATTAATGGAACAATTAGAAATTTTATGTGAACTGAATATTTTATGTTATTAAAGACTAATTGTTTATTTTTTTAGGTGTGGTAATGGTATGTGGTCATGTTTTTATAAAAGAGATCTTATTTTGTAGAGATAACCACTAAATGTTTACAAGTAAAATCATGTGATAGGTGAGATTTGTGGGAGAGGGCAGTGGGCGAGGTAAGAGGAGCAGCGAGTGGTTTGAGCTGATGTGGTTGAAGCTAGTGATGAGCACATGGGAGTTCAGCACGTTATTCTCTCTCCGTTTATATATATTTAAGTTTTTTCATTGTATAATATCAACAAAGAGTGATAATTGATAGTCCAACATTGAAGGAGAAGAGAGAAAATCTGAAAATTAGGAAGAAGGATTCAGCACTCATCGCTGGACTGTTTTCACTCCTGGGTGTCTGAGGCTGTCATAACTGACAGCTGGTAGAGTCATCGGTGATGGGCTTATGTAACTCTTCCACTGTTTGGTCTGTGTGTGTGCTTGTGCATAATGATGTCACTTAGTCGTCGTGGAAAAGCTTATACCCTTTAAGATGACAGGGAAACATGGGGCCGGCCCGATGGCGTAGTGGTTAAGTTTCCATGCTCTGCTTCAGCAGCATGGGGTTCGCAGGTTTGGATCCCAGGGGCAGACCTACATACTGCTTAT